AATGAAGTGACGCCATTCAAAGTCAGAAAACTTTACATTTGGGACATTAAATCGACAAAGTTGACAGACGCAAAAGAAATAAACGAACTACTCCAACAGTTTTTTTTCTTCTCTGAACTCTGATTAAAAGCGTCTCGCAGGTATTAGGGATGATTAGCTGCGTATAAGTTTAAGGATAAGTGTTGTTATGGGTGTCGTGTGCATTGTGCATTGTTTGCCTTGAGTACACATTTCCTGTGTTGGTGCCTGTGTGTGTGTGTGGATGTGTGTTTTGACGATTGAAACTTTCACGTGGCAGACTTTGCATTTTTGGCACTTCGACACGCCAATTTTACTTATTTCGCTTATTCGACATTCATGCGTCGGCATTATCTAATATTTGTTCGTGCGTAAAATCCTTTCTTTCCTGCTTTATTGCGTTTCCGCATTGATTGCGTCGAACCGACCCGACCGCCACCATCACGTCGATTCTGCATGGAAGCAGAAAATACTGACAGATGTTAGGTTTTTGGCGATATTTTGATGCCTGCGCCCGTGTATTAAACGTCGTGCGGGTATATTCAATAAATCTATTTCCATCGATTTTATTTTCGGCCCTGAATGTAAAAAAAAGGGAGACAGATTCAACAGCGCAGATGGGTCCAATTGTGTTACACTCAGAGTGAGATGGACTTCCTCCCTCTTATTGAGTAGAGTAGAGTAGCTTACTTACTAGGTAAATATGAGCATTGACAGCGGTGAATGAAAAGGAGCTTAAACGCTCACAACAATAACAATTGTCGATCATTGAGTCGTGTGTCTATTTTTGTGGTCGGCCGCTTCGAGGAGAGAGGTGTTGTGTAAATATCGCATCACATACCGCGGATGCATATCGTCACAACCAATTAACCTCAGCAGACAATTCCAGCGTCGATTAATTACATCACATCAAACTCGAGAATAAATCACTGTAAAAACAACACTGTCAGCCGCATTCGCGTAAAAAATCACGTTTTCCGCGCGCGCCGACGTCGTTTTACGTCTTTCCTCGGAAAATCTAAGAAACAAACAATAGCAACCATCCAGCGATCCATTGAAATCAGCACCCGTCGCCAGCATTCAGGGGGCCCCATGGCGTAGGGCGCGCATAAGGAGAACAAAAGGGTTCGACGGTCATTAGTAATCTTTTTTGTCTTAACTCCAGATGGGGTGACCCAGCATCAGCGCACAGAGAATATGGTAACACGTTCGGCTGAATTCGATCCAGGCTGCTTCTTAAATACGCCGTTTGCGTGCCCGGATCGAAAGAGTAATTAGCGAATGGATGAATTCGGCGGGCGGACTATTGATGATAGCAGACGAGCGCGCCGAGATTCAGACAATCGGTCTCGGCGCGCACTCGGGGGTGTTAAAGATGAATTGAAAATGTGCAAAGTTCACGCCACAATACGCGCACCGCACGCGGGGGGCACGCCGCTGATTAATTGATTAACTCTCGGAGCGTCGCTGCCTTTCGCCTTTCGCTTATCAGATGGATTGCGATGGAGATGTTTCTTTTGATTATTTCAGCGCGTGGACAAAATCGATTCAAACGAGCGACGCCATCAATCTAATTGGTAATTTTGGTGTGAGCTTTTGATTTTCCAACGTTTTGACGCTACAAACTGCAAGTCAAAACACGATTATTTAAAATGTGAACCATAAACCGTAAATCTTCTTGTTTGTTGTGTTTCGTCTTTTTTTTTTTAGTCTACCACCGAGTCAAACGGCAGAATTGCGCTCGCCATCACCCTACTAATAAACACAATAGCTGCGAGCGTTTTCTTTCCGAATGCAGTAGGTAGTTTGGTTTGTTGCCGTTTTCGTATCGCAAATGGGACAGATGGCATCATGGGGCATCGTTATTCATCCACCCCGGCGCAAAAGCACCAAGCAAAAAATACGCTTACATAATAAGCGCGTGCATAATGCTGACACGCCTATAATGATAGTTGGATCAAAGAATAGTGAAAAAATCGAAGCCTATTCGGGCGAGCTGTGCGTAATGCAGCAAAGCAAATACAAATTCTGTGGGGTTAAATCAGTGAGCAAAGGAACGAATTTAATTTCCATCATAAAATCCGACCGTAGAGTGAAACTCGTAAAAATTGATTATTTTTTGTATCAAGGCACAATTCAAGCGCAGAAAATGCATAGGACTGAATTTATTAATTTTAAAAATCTAATTTTTTTTTATTTGGAACGACCTGTTACTCTCCAAGAATTTATTTACAAGTAACGAGTTTGTGCACAATCTAAAGGTGTGTAAAATCATGTTTAATACCAGGTTCTGTTTACAATACAAGCAGATCTTTTCTGTAAACATGAATGAATGCTACGCTACACCCTTGAAGAGATATGGCACCCCGTCGATTTTTGGAGTTTTCAAGATCATTATTACCCCTGAATTATGTAACACTAACACATATTTTCCCTCTTGCCGTGTTTGGTGAATGAAGCAACCTTTTGCTTTGTGGAAACATTTTCGGCATGTACAACATTTCTCATTTCTTTAAGTCGAAACGTTTGTTTAGTCCGCGCGCATTGAAAAGCACAGACGAAGGTATAGAGGGATTGTGCGCGCTGGCGAAAGTAAAAGGCACCAAAAAATCTCCATCAGGCATTCATGATGGTGGTGGCTCTCAGCGACCCGCCGCAAGAAGAAAGGCTCGAGGGTCGAGAGAATATCCATGTCGATGTGAAGTACATAAGTATGTAAGCCGATTAGGGCCCTTAAATTTTTTTCTCCGAAATAATAACGAATCGAAAAACGTCCATTAATCACCGGCGAGCGGGGCGCGCGATTTAACGCGACCCGTGCCCTCAGATCGTTCGCCCAACACCTGAAAACACTTCTCCTTACGCACAGCAGACATGACGAATGCTCCGGAGCTTCTAATTTCCACCCTTTCATTAAAATAATTATTATGATTATGCAGCGTAAGGACTTAAACGCTACACGTGTGCGCGCGCCCATAATGCATAATAACACCTATGTCGGTGAGGGACGTGCGCGCCGCACAAAAAAGGGGTTGAACGACGATCGCATCCGGCTGGGTGGTCCGCACTTCGCTCTTTAATAGATTAAAGCTTGATTTTGATTGTTGGCCTTTGTACTTACAACATACCTATCTAAACACGCATGTTCACATTGAGTGATTTAATCAATTACAGGTATTTTCCTCGTTGTGAAGGGTTGGTTTTTGTAATACACTGAAATTTGCACTAAAAACAGATGTGTTCGGAACTTATACGACAACTCAAAGCATTGGACGCGCATGCGCAGCGTACACTTTCCTCTAAACCTGCAACAAAACTTTTTCCACGTTCAGATCACACATTACACGTCCTCACATGAAATTGCAAAGAAAGTGCCATTGCGCCAGGGAATCACGTGTAACACGATACCTCCACCGGCAAGTTGTATTCTTGTCGGGCACTTAATACGCCCGGGCCTGTGTAACACTAGTCGCGGGTGTTGAGTAACCGCGAGGTGTCGTTCGCGATTTGCAACTTTGCTGCGTGCGATCGCACGCGCGCGCCCAACTTTGCCATTGATACTAATTTCGCCAGTTTGTTACCACTGCGGAGAGCAGAACTAGTCCGGAACTCCTGAGAGCTGTAGTTATTCTACTAGTGGCATCCGCAGGGACGGGTTTAACCATAAAATAGTCATAGTAAACTCTCGAAATGAATGATTGACCCTCCATGTCGGCCCTGGCGACGCTAGTATTCAATCCAGTGTGGAGTTTGAGTGGTGGCCTGGTTGAGTCTGAAAAGGTAGCTGGGGCTGGATGCAAACATGACGAACACTATAGTGGTGGATCTGTTTTGGAGTGGGTTATGTACGTTGTGTTGTTGGTTGTTGACTGTGTGTGGGTAGGCCGAGTGCAAAATGTACTTTAATATGCAACCGGCATTAAAATGTATTGTTTTAAGTGGCTTTGTGTTATTATGTTACACGGCAGCATCCAGCACAGCCGCTTGCTTGTTAGCCCTGGATGTAATGCTTCCGGGCACGCAGACGTATGTCGCAAAGGGTGCGCGTCAGGCAGGCGGGGTGGAAAAAGGACCGAAAAGGGGTTAATAAAGTATTACGCCTTGTTGTCGTGCGGTGTCGTCGTCGGCAGGAATATGCGTCCTTTCACCTTCCTTGCTTCGAAGCGCTTGATAAGGGCGCATCGCAACGATTGCCACGTTAAACGCGCCCGCGCCCCCGGAATATGCTAGCGGTGGTTAAACTGCCACCAGTGTACACGCCGCGCGCAGATATTATAATTTTGGGAATAATAAACTTTCATTGCACTTGCTGCGCGTTTCCCCTCGCCGCGCAGATGTAAAATTCGCACTCACTTCCTACCGGCCCCGGAAAATCTGTCCTGTCGACAGAGATGGCGGAAAACTTTCCGGGAAGACGGAAAGAAACGCATGCTCGAACGCAAAATGCAGTAAAACATGTAAAGTTATGATTGCATGAGAGAGATGCAGCTGTGGATGGAAATGAGACGCGCCGATGGAATGCAGGGGCAAACGAAGAAAAGGCAATTGTTCTGTTCCAGGAGAGTCGAGAGGTGGATGATGTACGTATGTTGGTCGTCGGTTCATCGCGCCTCCCGCGCGGGACACAACGATTTAATTCAACTTTTCCCGAACTAATTAAATTAAGTTTCCGTCGCCGGACTGGTCCACCACCCCGACTTAATATTTAAATTCGTTTTGTGATACTCGTACTGTTTCAACATATTATACATTTATTATATTTGCGTAGAAATTTAATTAAATCAGTTTTGATTTCATTGCACTAGAAGAAAAAAACTCTATGTAGCGCGACTTGTGATATGATAAGCGAGTGCGTGTGGCGGTGGTGCGCGCGTTTGTGCGGGAGTTTGCGCTTCGCGGATGCTCCGACGAGCTTTGAGGGTCCCGCGCGCGGCGGTGCGCTTTCAGTTTCAGCGCTTCGCACCGGCACACGCTTCAGTCTGAAACCGGCATCGGTGCTGTTTGGATCAGGCTCTCTCCCGCATCTCGACGCGCAGCGTGCGTACCAGAGACGCGTGCTTCCGTGTTTGAAGCTTTCGCGGAACTTGCAAATATCATGTGAACAATTGTGATTTCTAAACTACGTTCGCACCGCTAGAAAACAAACTTTTTGACAACTTTTTCCGAAGGATAACTACAATCAATTTTCAATCATGAAGGACAACATGAAGTTAACAGTTTAAAAGTACACGCACAGAGACATTGCCGAAGCAATATAATTAAAATCAACAAAGTAAAAATAAAAAAGTGAATCAACGATGCATCGCAACTCACCAATGGGAAATTTAGTCATCTTGGGTTTATTATGCCTCCTGCAACAACGAGCACAAGGTAATTACACCTGTTTGTTAGTCATCATGAACTAGACTAAAACAATGCTAAAAAATAATGATTAAAAACGGTCGGTGTCTTTACGTATTGTGGATAAATTCGCTTGTGAAACAAGCAGTAATTACACCGAGCACAGGGTGCAAGGATACGCAGCGCACCAACTCTCCGCAAATATTTTGTTACGTTTGTTCATTTGCACGTTCGTGCATCGTGTGCGGCTTCCTGCACCCGTCCTTTACCCATCCACCAACCGCAGGTCTAATCATACGTCCGTGCGTTACAAAGCGCGCCACCGCCGCACACGCGTACGCGCCCGGAATGAAATTATCATACGATATGAAATTCCGGATTGTTCAGCAGCGCACAATTGAATTGAATACGAAAATATAAAGTTCGCTCGTGTTCTATTAGACGCAAACAAACGCATTGGTAATTAAGTTTCACTTTTACAATGTACATATTTTAAAATTTAACGTGCGCCATTATTTATTCAGTTGTAAAAGTCGCGCTCGCGCTCCGGCTGCAAAATTGTACGGGTAATGATATATTTAATTATGATTCGTTTTTGGCACTGTGGAAAATTAATAAAATGCAATTGCGTTTATTATACCTACGCAGCGGCATACATTTTCATCTCGTTAAACATTTTCGAGCGCGCAAGGCAAAATAAACAATTAAAACGGCAATTATGCTCCGCGCAGACGTGCGCGGTCAAACACGGAAATGCGGGAATAAAAATTGAGCCGACGGTGAAATTGTTCGGAAATTTATTTAAACGCTCCAAAGCGTCCGGCAAATAAAAACAATTTCAACAATTTTCAAAGCGAAAAACGCTTTCAAATAAAAAATACGTTTTTGAACCACCCAGCTCACTTACATAGGTATTTTATATGTAAATTGATCCTTTTTGCCAAATTCCAAGTATTCGGCATGATATATCCTACTTTTAAAAGTATAAGTATTCGTTGAATTTGGCTTGTTATCAGTCATTTATGATTGTACTATTTTGTGTGTTGCATTATGACTACATTCCGGGAATTTTAATGAAACTAATTCAAAGATTTTCTTTTCATTTGCTTCTTTTCTCGCTGCTGAAAGAGCTAAGTTTCTTTAGGTATTCGTTAAAGTTAAAGTTGGTTTATAATTGCAATTATAAGATTTTGTTTTTGATGAAATATGAAAGTTGAAAAATGATTTAAACATAAAAATAGTTACTTTAGTGACTTTTTTAATAAAAAAAATTAATGAATCTGTCAAGATAAATTAATTTTAATAATTTTATTTCCAAGTCAGTAAAATACCACTTCAAAAATCATATTTATTTGCTTAGAAGAAACATGTTTGCGTTTTTTATTATTATTTTTTTTAAACTTGCAAATGCATATCTATCCGATGTAATAATCCCTCCTGCTCGCCTGCAAGTTGTAATTCCTCTTGAAAGCTCGACACTCGCAGCTCGCAACATTCGATATTCGACCCCGCGTCGGTTTTGTGCGGGCCGAAAACACGGACTCGCAATGGCAGCGCCACATCGCATCGAATTAGTCGCTGGGATCAGTAGCAGTTAGTTGATTTATGTGTACATTAGTTATTATGCAAATCGAGGTCAGTTTATGTTTTCGGACGCGCGCACGCGGACGTTTTAACACTTTTTAACATAAACAAACCGGCCGCGGCGAGTCATAAAACTTTTGACGTTATTAATAATAAATTATCAGCACCATTTGTGCGGTTGTGCGCGCTCGCTGCGCGCCATTTCCAACACCAGCCTAGCTGTTTATTATTGATTGGTGTGTCTATTGAAGAATGTGCTTAAATCATAGCAACTATCAATTATCCAGAGATGTTTGCTACATGCTCAACTAAAACCCACTTTAAACGACTGTTTATAATTTTTTAGCCGAGAATTCTTAATTTATACAAAAAAGTCTTTCATTTTTGTATCCTTATGCTTGTTGAATAAATATTTACCATAAAGGTTTTTTTATATTAAATATTTAACTAAGCACATTTCGTACTTCGGGGAATATAAACATTATTATAATACATTACCCGCCAGTGGCGCATTTGAAGACGCGCAGCGTAATTCCGCAAACTTTCGGCACTTTCAAACTTATCAACAAGCAAACAATAACGCGCAACGACACTATTAATTAAATTATGAATGTACGTCTACGCGCGCACATTAAACACACCCGTAACACACGCGTGCGCGAATTTATTCGCATAAACATGCACTATTTATATTTTTAGTGCTCGGACTCGAAGAAACTTTCAGCTCTTTGTAGATCAATCGTCGGGCGCGAATTCAACGCGAAAGCAAACACAATCAAATTCGAAAGCACACAGTGTTTCATGTTCGACGTGGAAAACTCGTGCGCGCGAGCGTAAACACCCCATAAAACTGTCAAAACTATTTTACGCCGCCGATTCCAACTGAATATTAATGCACCGCAAGCCGGCGTATTTCATATTTCCTATTTGCGGACTGGTATCGCTTTAAAACGCTTTCAAGACGAAACTTGCTTCGCAATACGAAAAAAAGCGTTTCGATGGAATGTGATAAATTGATTCTTTTCTCGTTGAGTAATACACAACAGCACCAACGTTAGGCGTTGTGTTGGGTATGAAGTTGTTCCAGTGCGTTTTTGCTCTGCTGTGTTCAGCTTAGTAGTTTCGTTGTAGTTGCAGTTGTTTACCTCGCAAGTTTGTAATTTATCGCGCGGCATAAGCGCAACAATAAAATATGAATAGACAGAGATAACGGCGGTGCGACGCTTGCGATGAAGATTGAAAATTCCGGCGCCCACCTGAAGGAAGAAGCTTCACGCGCGCGCGAAACTATGTTACGTGTAGTTAGCAACAACACCTGGTGCGCTTTATTACGACCCCTTGTAAAACGCCGACACGCCGACACATACACAACCCTGTCTCTTGCTATCCTCGACTTTACTTTTGCGCACTTTTAGCGTGAGAGCAAGAGCGCAGATGTTGAGGGGGAGTCTATCGAGGTGCTTCCTCAGCTGACGCTTGATGTGGACCGAATTTCAGGTTGCGCCACCTTAAACGGAGGTTTTACAAGTTTGCCACTATAAAAGCGCCGGCGGGGCGCACAACGAAAACGGCGGCACCCTTTAATATAATTCGTGTTATTACAAGCCTCCCGCGCTGGGCCCTTGCGCAACGAAAACACCCCGCCGCAGCGATGAGAACAAGCAACTGTAAATATTGAGACTGTTGAACGCGGTTTTTAGTAAACAAATGACAGGTTGTGGTGGGCGACGATGAATTTGGGGTTGGTGCTGGCGCAGATAAAGTGCATCCGGCTCGAAATTTCCAAAATAAATATCGGTGATAAACGACGCGATGAAAGCTTCTTCTCTGTAAAAGGTCTTGTTCGGTGCCAAGTGCCAAGTGCACACATTTTAAAACAAATTATCAAGATGATTAACACATTGTAAAGTGTATATTCTCCACATTGTATTCAATCTCAACGTTTTTTTTTTTGTAAGCCAACACAAAAAACAACTCGTTTATGAAGTCGTTTAATGCTTATTTTTCTATGAAAATCTAATTAAAATTCATGAGTGCTGCGACGATAGTGCTTCGAGGACAATGTTTCAGGTACAGTTCGGGTTTTACGTTTTGCTCGCCGCGGCTGGATTTGCTGGAATCGCGTTCGCGGCGTTCAGTGAGAGTTAAATATCACATAAATTCGGATTAGTTCGTGCGCCCGGCACCGCGTGCTGCTGAATGTATGGCGGTGGATCAGGCCGGACGTTTCGTTGCGCTTGTCGCGGCTGTCTTTGTCCACCTCCGCCGCTCCATTATCCGTCCTTTGTCACGCCGGCATCGTCCTCGGCGCGCAAATATATTTAACGTGTTTGCTCCGCATGTCCTTTGCTAGTTGGTAACGTAGATTTTGCGCAAACATGGATTCTCGCGACGCGGGACATATGCAGACACAGAAACGCACCAAAAAATTATTAACAAAAAGCATGCCCGAAACGTTATATCATTTTCGTCCCACGGCCGCGCGGAAAAAACACAGCAAAAAGTGGACCTGAACTAGAAAACGCTGGTGAGATGAATTCGCACGAGAAAACAAAGCAGTGCAGAGCAGCGCATGAAAGAGTAAATACGCGGTGATATTTTGTCGGATTTTTCGTGCGCTGCGTGCTAAATGAAAACAAACAAACGGCCTCTTACATGCAAAAACTTTTAAATGTGTTGGCGTGATTGCTTTTATTTATTGTATTCAATTCTAGCAGCGCAGTGACTGCAATCTGCACTTGTCGAAAAAGGACCGGTTTTGCTTATCTCTTATCGTCACTTTACTCGCGTTTCGCACTAAACTCGACGCGTTTCTAGCGAATTTTAAGTTAGTACGCCGCGTTTTGTTCGATCGGTCGGTAATCGACTTTAGTGTTAACCAAGCGTGTTCGGTATTTTGTGCATTATGTAACGCGAATTACAAATCGATTTATTTCTTAGAACATTTGTGTATAAAGAGAACTGAATGTGACTCTCGACAATTAGAAAACTTCTCCGTTTGCTGTTGTTTCTGGGCGGACCATTGGCAGGTACTGTAGCAGTATTTTTGTTCCTAGCGAATTTTCTAAATGTTAAACAAGCGCACTTTTTCCGCTGATAAAATACGCTTAAAATATAACACGCGCCCGGCTTACGGATTGAAAAATTGAAAAGGCTACTAAAAGCACGCGTTTCGAAATGCTTTGTTTTATAAAACAATAAATGGCCGAAGTTAACGTGCGCTACATGGTCGTCGCAGAGCGTCGCCATTATAAGTTTAAACATTTTTCACGTCTTTAGAGCGCGCTGCTGCGCGTCTTCGCGGGCGGTCTACAATTTCTTTTCACTGCAGGTTCTTTTTAATAAATTTCACATCGCAAATAAGAAATACCCCGGCGCGGTAATAAATTTCCGCGCAATAATTTTGAAATTTCCCGAAACAATGAAAGTTCAACAGCCAACAGCGC